ACCATACTTCGTTCCGGTTACGTATTGCTCGACTGTTCTTGCAATTGACCCTATGTCACACCATGGCGCTCACTGTGGAAGAACGCGCGTTTTTCGTCGAACTTTACATCAAGAATGTATCTTTTAGGGAATGTCAAATCGCTTAGGTGGTTGTACGAAACCTTCGAAATCAGAGATATGGAAACAGGTAAATCAGTTCCGAGTACGTTAAGAAAAAAAAGCGCCAGCCAAGTGTCGCTACACCTGAGATAGTGGATGAAGTGTGGGAAAGAATGGCAGCAAGTCCGGTAAATTTCCGAGACGTTTAGTACAACGTATTTCTTTTTGTTGGGATATTATGCTACAAATCTACGTACCCTTGGTGAATTAAAAGCAATAATCAGTGACACAATCAGCAATATTCCCCAAGAAATGCTTCACTGTCGGAAAGTTGCTGCGAAGATTAAATTTGTGCCTGCAACATGGTGGTGGGCACCCTCAGCACTTCATTTAAGGTAATCAACTGTGTGGATCATGTCACGTCTTTCTGTAACATTATGTTAAATTTTTGTAAATCATTAGGTTCCTAAGTAATATGGTTTTTAGTGTACGGGAGTTATTTAGAATTCTCGAATATAAAAATCATTCTGTATGTATCCGATATTACATAAAGGAAATCGAATCCTGTTTCTCAAGCGACAAACTAAATGAAATCCCGTTTTTATCCCACATGACATTAAAGGGGAGATCTTCCCTCTTGCGTGAAACAGATAACTGAATAATGTATTCCAGTTGAAATACTGTAGGTGATTGAATTCTGTATCCATGGTGAAAGAAATGATCGAATCCTGTATAGTAAGTACAATAGATAATTAAATTGTGTGCTCAATGTGAATTAGGCGATTAAATTCTGTCTCACGCGCAATAGATGATTCAACGTAGCATCTTCCATAACAAACACAAAAAAAAACATCTCTATAATTTCTTTCTAGTTTAAATAGTAGTTTCAATCCTCATTCACATAATTATCTTTGGTCAAGCACGACATACCGCGTAAAACAAGGATCAAAACTCTATTCTTGGCGTCGAAATGAGGCCGAAATTCTTCATCCGTGGCAAAAACAAAAGAAAAACGATCGATGCTTTTCCAAACGTTGAGATAAGGGACCAAACTCTATACTACCGCACACAGAGAAATAAAATCATTCGACGTTGAAATAAGAGGACCAGATTCTCCATTCGTGGTGGATGGATAAACATCAAAGTCTCTTTTATAAGTGATCCAATTCTATACCGCAAACGTCACAGACAAATTGTCACAATCAACCAATTCATCTCATTTTAACACAGGGAAATACAGAACACAACACGTGCATAAACCACAAGAAAATTGAAAATTATGCACAAGTAAAAATATGATGAGGAAATATACACATACAGACACTTTAACATCTCTTATAATCACATTAATAGATTAGTAAAATAAGAAGAAAAATTAGCATACATATATAAACGAAAGAATGAGCCATAAAAGTATACAGTATATATATAACTCTCATGAACTCATTAAATGGGTGAGGAGAAAAAACAGACACTGAAATCTGCACCAGTAAGTACAGAACGTAACTTGATCCGGTTACATAACTACTTAAGTATATAAATGATAAAAAAGGAACATGCTTAATCATGCGCAAAAACACAAAAAAGATGAAAAATCAGAAAAAAGACTTTAATATATACATGTAAAGAACAATTATATGAAACAGTGATAATATTTTGTGTTCATATTTAAATATTATAGAATAAAGCGTAATATAGATACGTGAATAAAGAAGAAAAATGCTATATATTTTTTATAATTACTAAATTCACTAAAGTCGAATAATTATACTTGTGAATATCTACATGTAAAGGGATAATAATGACCTATACTTGAATAAGCTTAGAATATCAGACTTACAATATCTTAAACGTCTTCTTATATAACCAGTCCTATTTTTTATATATGTACTGTATATGTGTTACCGTCCATCATATATATATAATTATATCTTACTGTCCACCATATATATGTCAATACTTGTTACCGTCTATATAAATTCTAGTTATCGTCTACTATCTATATACAAATATGTGTTACTGTCTAATAGCTATACACATCTGCATTGTTGCCTAGTTTGTCTATATACACA